CCGAGATCTGGATGTGACCCTTTTCTTGCCTTTATCTGGCCCTTATTCCTGCCCTTGACACCAATGATGGGGCACTATTCCTCTCACTGACACCAACGTTGGGTCATTATTTCTCCCCCTAATACCAAAGATGGGGCATTGTTTACTCCCCTGGTCTAGGGGAGCTCCTCCTAAAAAAAATTATCAAGAATCAGCGGGGAACAATGTACCTTACATTGGGGGTCAGTGGGAAGAATGCTGCTTACATTGGTGGTCGGTGAGAAGATGGTGCCTTACATTGGTGGTCAGTGGGAAGAATGCTCCTTACATTGGTGGTCAGTGGGAAGAATGTCCTTTACATTGATCACCAGTGGGAAGAATTCCCCTTACATTGGTGATCAGTGGGAAGAATTCCCCTTACATTGGTGATCAGTGGGAAGAACGCCCCTTTCAGACAGCTGAAAAGATGATTGGTGTCATGCCACTGGCTCTTTCAAGTGGTGTTGGCCCCAAAACTATGAAGGCATAATCAGATGGGAACTCAATTAGCCAGAATACAAGGAACCCCTAGCAACCTCTGGAGGAATGGTGGGGGTTCTACTGAATCCTAGTTGAGAATGACTATTCCATTAGGTTCTTACCGCTGTGTATGTCCCTGTAGATTCACCCTCTCCATGTGTCCATATGGAGAATAACTGTTATAAGTACAGAAAAACATGAGAGGAAACCCCAAATTTTGGAGTTGTTACCAGAACAGGATATGAGAAGAAACATTTGCATGGGAACACTTTGACCATCTGTAGAGATTTCCTGTTGGGTCTCTGAGACAGGAAGTGAGGGGAACACAAGTGGCATAAAAAAATGACAGCTTCTAACCATTCTCTGCTGCAGGGCTTTTTTCCTCAGAGAATAAGAGAATAGGTGCAGGAACCCCCCCCTTCAGAGTCACTCATTGTTTCCACCCCCTACCCACCTCCAAGCACCATCCTTTGGTTCCACCCCCTACCCACTTCCAGGCACGGTCTTTTGGTTCCACCTCCTACCCAATTCCAAGCACCATCCTTTGGTTCCACCATCTAACCACCTCCATGCACCATCCTTTGGTTCCACCCCTTACCCACTTCCAAGCACCGTCCTTTGGTTCCACACCCTACCCACCTCCAAGCACCATCATTTGGTTCCACACCCTACCCACCTCCAAGCACCATCATTTGGTTCCACCCCCTACCCACCTCCAAACACTGTCCATTGGTTCCAGCAGCTACCCACCTCCAAGCACCGTCCTTTAGTTCCACCCGTAACCCACCTCCAAGCACCGACCTTTGGTTCCACCCCTACCCACCTCCAAGCACCGACCTTTGGTTCCACCCCTACCCATCTCCAAGCACCGTCCTTTGGTTCCACCGGCTACCCACCTCCAAGCACCGACCTTTGGTTCCACCCCTACCCACCTCCAAGCACCATCCCTTTTAGAGAATACATAACCAAGTATCATTTTGCATGGAATCTGTTAATGATAATAAGAAAAGCAGTAAAATAGATCCCTCACAACCAGCAACAACAATAGCCCCCCAACAACAATGGACCCCCACAGCAAAATACCACCCCCAACAGCAATAGATCCAAAGCAGCAACAACAGATCTCCCATCAGCAAGGAACAATAGACCCTTTCCTCCAAATTAGATTCCTTTCTGGCAACAATTGACCTCCCAGCAACAATAGATCCCTCTTTGGCAGCAATAGACCTTGCCAGCAACAATAGACCTACATGCAAAAATAGATCCCCTCCAGTGACAATAGATCCCTCAGAAGTCATAATCAATAGACCCAAACCACACCCCAGCACCCCTTGCGAATTACATACATTCAGTGCTGGAGGTGCTGGAACTGTGTTCTCTTGCAAGGTTGACAGTTATGACTCCCAAAGGCAGAGGCATGATTGGAATTGTAGATCCATGACAGCTGGAGGGCCACTGGTTGAGCACCCATGAGCTACAGCAAATCAGAGAGAGCCCGCCTCACTTCTTAGAGGATATCATGCATCATCTAGCCCTGTCCTCCCCTGCCCGACTGTCCCAGACCCGCCCCTTTCATTCATTGGATTTAGTGCTTTTAATAAAAGAGGCTCAGCCCCCCCAAAAAAAATAATGAGCATTACCATTGCTTCCTGTTGTCCCCTCCCACCAGCCATGATATGCCTGCATTGCATAGAGAAGTACAGAGATGAAGTCATTGTGTCTAACATTAGCTATGGAAATGTTTTATTTATTCAATTAATAATACAAAATATAAGCAGAGTCAACTTTAGTCTTTGCAATACAGTATTATTATTATACAGGATTTATATGTTAACAGTTTGCTCAGCGCTTTACAATATAACGGGAGACAATACAGTAACAATACAGTTCAATACAAGAGGGAAAGGAGGGCCCTGATCCTGGGAGCTTACAATCTAGGAGGGAGGGGCTAGTGGTACAAAAAGTAACACCTGTGAGAGACAAACTGATAGGATACCTTAGATTGTATGCCCCTTGAGGGTTAGGGACTGATGTGAATGCACAATATATATGTAAAATGCTGTGTAAATTGATGCCGCTATGTAAATACCTGAAATAAATCATAAATAAATAAATAAGGCTACTTTCAGGAGTTTTTGAAGTGTTTTTGCGTTAAAAAAGCAGCTGAAAAGCTCAAGAAAACTGTTTCCGTATGTATGTGAATGGATATCTATGTATGTTTGCATAATGAAGTGTTGCGCTTGCGGTGCGGTGTAAACTCCTGCTTGCAGCATCTTTGGGGCATGTTCGGCGAGTTAAAAAAAAAAAGCCCCAGAAACGCCTCTTCCCATTGAAATCAATGGAAAACCCCTCAAAAATGCCTCAAAAATACCTGAAAAGTGCCTCAACAACGCCTCTTGGAGCAGTTTTTAAGTCCTTTAAAAAAGCTCAGAAAGCGCGGCAATAGCGCGGTAAAACCGCCTATGTGTTTTTGCACAGGATCAGTGTAGCCTAAAAATGGGAGAAATAGAAGATTCAGTTATTATCTAAAGGCAGGAAAGGCTTTCCTGAAGAGATGGGTTTTCAGAGGTAAAAGTGAGCGGAGTAGGCAATAGTCAGACAGAGGTAGAGAGTTCCAGAGGATGGGGGAGGCTCTGGAGAAGTCCCGGAGATGGGCATGGGAGGAGGAGACAAGGGAACTAGAGAGCCAGAATACATAGATAGACTTTCATTTATTGTCTTTGCAGGAAATTGATTTAGTTATCATATCGCCAACCTGCTTCTATTTTTTTATTCCAAAAATGATTATTGTGTATTTATAAGAAAGCTTTTACCTCGCTCTTACGGAGCCTTTCAAACTGTGAAACAACTGGTCAACATTATTTAATCTTCAACCTAATCTTGTTCAAATTGTTTTCATGTAGTGTTCAGTCATTAGAGCCGCTCAGATAAAGAACAACATCAGCTGTAAATGATAGATGTCCCGACGGCCCAGACAATGGAATTCCTCCGAGCCACCTACATAAGCAAATCAAAATTAATCTGCCCCAGCTTAGTTTTAAATCACAACAGATGTGCCAGATTGTGCAACTGTTTCCCATTTCCTTGATCCCTGCTTTAGTTTTTTTTTTTTTTTTTTTTCCCCTCTTACTATTTCTAAAGAGAGAGATGGAAGCTTATATAGCAATCCGAGAAATAAATGCAAATGAAGATAAGCTAAAAAGTGTGCTTTGGCATACAGAGCGACGACGGGTTTCTTAAGGACAGTACGGGGGGGGGGGGGGGGGGGGGATATATAAATCCAAATAAATGCCTGCGCTTAGATTAAGGCTAGGTTCACACTTATGCAGTTTGCGTTTGATCAGTTTTTGCGTTTTTGATGCGTTTTGCATTTTTTTTCTTGTTGCTAGGCAGATTAATCACTTGACCTCTAGAGGATTTACCCCCATTCCTGACCAGGCCATTTTTTGCACTACGGTGCTGCGTCACTTTAACTGACAATTGTAACACGGAAAGGTTTCTTCACAGTGAGAGCTGTGAAAATGTGGAATAGACTCCCTGGGGGAGAAGGATCTGGGAGTTCTGGTTGATCACAAGCTTAACCCCTTCACGCCGGCCGCACACGAATGTGCGGCCTCCCCACGTCTGGGCATAGACGCCGAACGGCCGTACATTTGCGTTCATGTAACAAAAAACATATGCGCTGAGAGCGCGCGCCCTGCCCGCTCCCAGCACACGTGCGGTAGTCACGGAAAGGTCCCGGTCCGCTCTTTCGATCGGGACCTTTCCCGATCATGTGACCACCGTGACGATGCGTCACGGCAGTCACATGATCCCTAAACCATGCCCCACCCTCCCCGACTCCCGGCGTGTGAAACTCTTAAAGGGCCGGGAAGCACTGGCGGGAAGGGGTTAATAATGGCCTGCAATGCCAAGCTGCGGTTTCTAAAGCAAGCAAAATCCTCTCTTGTATTAATAGAGGTATAGACTCCAGAGAGAGAGATATCATTTCCCGGTACAAATCATTAGTTATACCTCATCTGGAATATGCAGTTCAGTTTTGGGCTCCAATTCACAAACAGAACATTGGGGAACTGGAGAAAGTACAGAGAAGGGCAACCAGACAGATAAGAGGCATACTCGGTGAACACTGGGTGCCGGCAGGTAATCACCGGCCGGGACCCAGTGATTGACAGCCGAGGCCACAAATGGCAGTGTTAGTAGGGCATGCGTGCCCCCTACCTGGAACTGCAAAATCACGTATATATATATGTGATTTTGCACACCTGTGTCACCCTGTAGCAGTATTTCTGCTATAAGGCGGAGGGGAAGTAGTTAAAATGCAAACCAAATCAAAAACGCACTACATACTTTTCTGCAGCATTTCCATTTAAGTCTATAGAACCAAAAACGCAACATTTTGCATTTTTAAAAAGTCCATGACCCTTTCCAAAAAATGCACTGGGTGAAAACACAGAGATGTGAATCTGTCCCATAGGAAATCATGTTAAATGGACTGTAGTGCATTTCTGCAAAACACTGTGAACCTAGGGTAAAGTGTTATTAAACCCCAGACCCTGCATTCACTATATCTGGTCTCCCAGGACCCTGCATTCACTATATCCGGTCTCCCAGGACCCTGCATTCATTATATCTGGTCTCCCTGCACCCTGCATTCACTGTATCTGGTCTCCCCGGACCCTTCATTCACTGTATCTGGTCTTCCAGGACCCCGGATTCACTATATCTGGTCTCCCCGGACCCCGCATTCACTATATCTGGTCTCCCCGGACCCCGCATTCACTATATCTGATCTCCCAGGACCCCGCATTCACTATATCTGATCTCCCAGGACCCTGCATTCACTATATCTGGTCTCCCCGGACCCTGCATTCACTATATCCGGTCTCCCAGGACCCTGCATTCACTATATCTGGTCTCCCCGGACCCTGCATTCACTATATCTGGTCTCCCCGCACCCTGTATTCACTAGATAAGTGGAACATCCCCTTTTGGGTGGAACTGCTTCAAGCTCCAAATTCAGCCAGTCCAATCTTCACACATGCCTCTGCAAGAGTTAAGCCCCCTGGTGTGTTCGTTGGGCAATGCATTCAAGTAAATGGGGCCACACTACAACACATACAATGCATGTGGGTGCGGTGGCGCAGGCTTTTAAGGGTTAAAACAGGCAAGCAAATGACAAACCATTCTCAGCTGCAGCAAAACTTCAACATGCTGTCCAGGGGCGGACTGACAACTCATGGGGCCCCTGGGCAATAGGGGATCATGGGGCCCCTGTGCCCTTGCCCAAACTCAAAAAAGCCTATGAAAAAGGTACCAGGGGCATCTCATGGGGCCCCCTACTGACCCCGGGCCCTCGGGCAGTGCCCGCGTTTCCAAATGGTCAGTCTGCCCCTGATGCTGTCACGTTCGGAGGGAAGTGACACCTGTGGAACATGGCTCATTCAAGTAAATGGGGCCATGACACAACAGGCCACAATGAGATGGGAGGAATAGTGCACCATTGTTGGTGTCAGTGGGAGAATCATTTCTCCATCTCTGGTGTCAGTGGAAGGAATTGTGTCCCATCATTGTTGTCAGTAGAAGGAATAGTGCCCCATCCTTGGTGTCAGTAGAAGGAATAGTGCCCCATCATTGGTGTCAGTAGAAGGAATAGTGCCCCATCCTTGGTGTCCTTAGAAGGAATAGTGCCCCATCATTGGTGTCAGTAGAAGGAATAGTGCCCCATCCTTGGTGTCCTTAGAAGGAATAGTGCCCCATCATTGGTGCCAATGGGAGAAATAGGGCCCCATTGTTCGTATCAGTGGGAGAATAAGTTCTCCATCTCTGGTGTCAGTGGAAGGAATTATTTTCGATCATTGGTGTCAGTAGAAGGAATAGTGCCCCATCATTGGTGTCAGTGGGAGGAATAATGCCCCATCATTGGTGTCAGTGGAAGAAATTGTGTCCCATCTTTGGTGTCAATGGGAGGAATAGTTCCCCATTGTTGGTTTCAGTGGGGTAATCAGTTTTCCATCTCTGGTGTCAGTGGAAGGAATTGTTTTCCATCATTGGTGTCAGTGGATGGAATTGTGTCCCATCATTGGTGTCAGTGGGAGGAACAGTGTCCCATCATTGGTGTCAGTAGAAGGAATTGTGTCCCAATGTTGGTGTCAGTGGGAGGAACAGTGTCCCATCATTGGTGTCAGTGGGAGGAACAGTGTCCCATCATTGGTGTCAGTAGAAGGAATCATGTCCCCTCATCAGTGTCAGTGGGAGGAATAGTGCCCTATTGTTGGTATCAGTGGGAGAATCAGTTCTCAATCTATGGTGTCAATGGAAGGAATTGTGTTCCATCATTGGTGTCAGTGGAAGAAATTGTGTCCTATCATTGGTGTCAGTAGAAGGAATTGTGTACCAACATTGGGGTCAATGGGAAGAATAGTGCATCATGGAAGTGGAATGAAGCGTGTCCCAAAGGCTGGATAAAGGCAAGCAAAGGGCCACATCTGGCCCGCAGACTGCAGTTTGGAGACCTCTGGGCTAAAAGATGGGCCTGTGTCTCATGCACCAGGGCTAAGCACTTAGTGTACATGAGGCCTAAGAACCTAAGAAGAACGAAAAAGAAAAAACTTTCAAAAAAGAACAACAGCGATGCCATACATTTGTAGCTTCAAAGGGATCACCCTTCATAAAAAAAAAATAACCTGTGTGAATGGGAAAATACTGCATTATGGCCACTAGATGGAGCTGAGGACAATACTTTCTTCCTATCATGGTATGCGCCATCTAGTGGCCATAAGGCGTTTTTTTCTCTGCTCACCCTATTTTTTTTTTTGCATAACATTTGATCTGCAGAGAACATAACAATCGTTTTTGTCCCATTCGCACACAATGAGTTTACATGCAGTTTCAATGGACAAGCAGCTATGCAAATTATTTATGTATGTATGTAATTTATTTTTTATGTATGTATATAACCGAGTTTCTTGTCTTCCCCCCCAGCCCGCACACCACCCCCCATTGCCTTCTCCATCATGTCCAACAATGCCACCATCAAACCCGCCCCGCAGGCCAGAGTATTTGGTGTCATTCTGGACTCCAACCTATCCTTCCAGCCCCAAGTCCAATCTTTAACAAACTCGTGCAGACTCCACCTCCGCAACATCGCCAAAATCCGCACGTTCCTAACCCCAGAAACCACTAAACAGCTCATCCACTCCCTCATCATATCACGACTCGACTACTGCAACTCCCTCCTCACTGGCCTGCCTCGCCGCTGGCTATCCCCGCTTCAGTCCATCCTGAATACGGCTGCCAGACTCATTCACCTTTCCATCTCCGCCACCCCCCTCTGCCAATCCCTCCACTGGCTTCCGATTGCACAACGGATCAAATTCAAAATCCTAACACTGACGTACAAAGCCGTCCACCATACTGCCCCGAACTACATCACTGACCTAATATCCAAGTACCACCCAGCACGCACACTCCGCTCCTCACAAGACCTCCTTCTCTCTAGTTCCCTGGTCTCCTCCTCCCATGCCCGCCTCCAGGACTTCTCCAGGGTGTCCCATCCTCTGGAACTCCCTGCCCCAACCCATCAGATTATCACCTGCTCTCCTCTCCTTTAGGCGCACCCTGAAAACCCATCTCTTCAGGGAAGCCTACCCCACCCCCTGCTAACTTGCCGACCTCCTCCACTCTTCCTACCACTCCATCCCCCACAGCTTTCTCCTCCTGTGCCACCACCCCCTCCCTCCTAGATTGTAAGCTCGAAAGAGCAGGGCCCTCGATCCCCTCATGTTTTGCATTGTATTGGTATTGTTCTGTCACATGTTCTGTCCCCCTTTGTAATGTACAGCGCTGAGCGAACTATTGGCACTTTATAAATACTGTATAATAATAATAATATGTATGTAATTCATTTTTGTATGTATGCGTGTAATTCTTTTTTGTATGTATGTAATTCATTTTTTTTGCATGTATGTGTATGTATGTAATTAATTTTTTGCATGTATGTGTATGTATGTAATTCATTTTTATGTATGTATGTAATTCATTTTTTGCACATACAGTCAGGTCCATAAATATTGGGACATCGACACAATTCTAACATTTTTGGCTCTATACACCACCACAATGGATTTGAAATGAAACGAACAAGATGTGCTTTAACTGCAGACTGTCAGCTTTAATTTGAGGGTATTTACATCCAAATCAGGTGAACGGTGTAGGAATTACAACAGTTTGCATATGTGCCTCCCACTTGTTAAGGGACCAAAAGTAATGGGACAATTGGATTCTCAGCTGTTCCATGGCCAGGTGTGTGTTATTCCCTCATTATCCCAATTACAATGAGCCGATACAAGGTCCAGAGTTCATTTCAAGTGTGCTATTTGCATTTGGAATCTGTTGCTGTCAACTCTCAAGATGAGATCCAAAGAGCTGTCACTATCAGTGAAGCAAGCCATCATTAGGCTGAAAAAACAAAACAAACCCATCAGAGAGATAGCAAAAACATTAGGCGTGGCCAAAACAACTGTTTGGAACATTCTTAAAAAAGAAGGAACGCACCGGTGAGCTTAGCAACACCAAAAGACCCGGAAGACCACGGAAAACAACTCTGGTGGATGACCAAAGAATTCTTTCCCTGGTGAAGAAAACACCCTTCACAACAGTTGGCCAGATCAAGAACACTCTCCAGGAGGTAGGTGTATGTGTGTCAAAGTCACCAATCAAGAGAAGACTTCAACAGAGTGAATACAGAGGGTTCACCACAAGATGGAAACCATTGGTGAGCCTCAAAAACAGGAAGGCCAGATTAGAGTTTGCCAAACGACATGTAAAAAAGCCTTCACAGTTCTGGAACAACATCCTATGGACAGATGAGACCAAGATCAACTTGTACCAGAGTGATGGGAAGAGAAGAGTATGGAGAAGGAAAGGAACTGCTCATGATCCTAAGCATACCACCTCATCAGTGAAGCATGGTGGTGGTAGTGTCATGGCGTGGGCATGTATGGCTGCCAATGGAAACTGGTTCTCTTGTATTTATTGATGATGTGACTGCTGACAAAAGCAGCCGGATGAATTCTGAAGTGTTTCGGGCAATATTATCTGCTCATATTCAGCCAAATGCTTCAGAACTCATTGGACACCGCTTCACAGTGCAGATGGACAATGACCCAAAGCATACTGCAAAAGCAACCAAAGAGTTTTTTAAGGGAAAGAAGTGGAATGTTATGCGATGGCCAAGTCAATCACCTGACCTGAATCTGATTGAGCATGCATTTCACTTGCTGAAGACAAAACTGAAGGGAAAATGCCCCAAGAACAAGCAGGAACTGAAGACAGTTGCAGTAGAGGCCTGGCAGAGCATCACCAGGGATGAAACCCAGCGTCTGGTGATGTCTATGCGTTCCAGACTTCAGGCCGTAATTGACTGCAAAGGATTTGCAACCAAGTATTAAAAAGTGAAAGTTTGATTTATGATTATTATTCTGTCCCATTACTTTTGGTCCCTTAACAAGTGGGAAGCACATATGCAAACTGTTGTAATTCCTACACCGTTCACCTGATTTGGATGTAAATACCCTCAAATTAAAGCTGACAGTCTGCAGTTAAAGCACATCTTGTTCGTTTCATTTCAAATCCATTGTGGTGGTGTATAGAGCCAAACATTTTAGAATTGTATCGATGTCCCAATATTTATGGACCTGACTGTATGTATGTAATTAATTTTTTTGTAATATATGTAATACATTTCTATATGTATGCATGTAGTTCATTTTTATGTAATTCATTTTTTGTATGTAATTCATTTTTATGTATGTATGTAATTCTTTTTTTTGTATATATGTAATTAATTTTTTATATGTATGCAAGTA